TATTAAAAACAGTTCATGTATTCTGCTGTGGCAGCAACTGTGGGAGTTATTCTGTAAGCTTTCCCAGTGCAGGTGTAGTCTCTGCTCCTATGACATTGCTTAGCCTCTGCAGTGAATCTGTTGCTTGAGCCTGTCTATTGCTATGTTCACTTAAATTCCAAGCAGATTTTCTGTACTTTGTTTATTTTCTCCTACGTTCATTCTACTTTTTCTTCTGTTCTGTTTTCTTCAGTCTGTGACAGCTACATTTCGTCTACTGTCTGCATTTGCTGGTGTTAGAGAGCGGTGCTGTCTGTTGGCTGCTGAGTGTCCTGTGGAAAGTGATGCTGTGTAGTGAAAAGGTTTGGGAAAGAAAGAAAAAATGGACAGGAAGCCTGTGAGGGGGAGCGAACAAATGGCTGCTTGTTGGCTTTGCAGGAAAATGAAGATAAACCTGCACATCCTGGTGTGACCTTTTCTCTGAGCAGGCTGGAAATCCCAGTCTCTAGTCTTCATGTGTTTTTGCTTTTAAATTAAACAGTCCTAGCCTCTTGAGTCTCTCTTTAACATTGGCCAACCTCAAATCGCTACCTCTGATTACTTTCACTTGCATGCTCTGAGCTGTTTATATTCCTTCCCTGAGAAGAGGTGAAGACACTGGACTATACCAAGATCTGTTTTATACTGTCTTGGGGTCACGTTTATTATTGGTGTAAATATAGTTTTCTAGGTGCTGAACACATTCTGGCTGTAAATACAGATTTTTATGTCTGTGAGCTACTTGTAAGGGAGCTTCTGGTGAGTTAAGGTGGTTTTCATTGGGTAGAAAGAGAGATGGGAAGATGCAGATACTATTCCTGTGTCTATTTTTAAAATAGTAATAGGTTAAGAGAATCTTTCCTAGAGTCAGGATGAAGGTTTTCAATATCCACAGTTGAATCTTTTTTAGAATATAGTGGCATAGTGTATATTTAGTTAGTCTTGACAATTTGGAGACTTCTGGTGAGGAGAAATGATATAATGTTTAAATACTGTTCAACTCTGTGCATCTCAGTTTGTTGTGGTTGATTTTTTTCCTCCCAACTGTTTTATTCCTGTAATACATTCCTGCAAACAGAATGCAGGAAAGAAATTTCTGTCTTTGCTCACTTGAATTTGGCTTGGTAAGAATGCTTTGCATACTGCTCTTGTTGTATGCAGACAGTTGTTGCAGAGATGCTTTAGTTTTCATCGGACTTTAAGCAGTTGTAAAATGGTGTCCTTCATGGGACATTCCATCAGTAGTTCTCTTAAATAACGAAGGGGTCACAAGGGTAAAGTTTTAAGTTTAGTTCAAGTGCCTTAGCAGTCCATTAGCAAAGAGGTTTACCTTGGGATTCATTATTGGTTGAAGTGCTTGAACGCTGGAGATGCTAAATTACGTTAGTCTGTTTTGCCTTCAGAGTGATTTGTTGTGTACAAGTAGCACAGGCTAAGACTCAATTCAGTATGTATTTCAGATAGGTCAGGGGAGGTGAGCCTTACAGGTACCTTATTCTATTTCAGCTCTATTTCACCTTCTTGTTTTATTAGAAGAGGTAGTTGTAAATATCTCTCGGGACCTGTTGTAAAGCTGCATTGAGCTAGCTTTAGCATCTTTACGTATTACTATTTATTGTCTTGTAGTATTGGTATCTCAAAGGTTATCAAAGTACTGTTGTTAAAATATATGCAATATAAAGAGTACTATGAACACTGTGTCTGCTTACTATGAACATATCAGGCAAAATACTAAAGCTTCTAATTTTGAAAACTGAGAAAGCTCATTGTGCTGCCAGAATATTCTGAGAAAAGTAAAGTTATGGTGATTAAAGGCTTCACTGATCCGCTATTTCCATGTCCAAATCTCCACAGACTTGCCTTACCCCCTTTTATTTCTAGCTGCCTTAAAATATCTTTCAGGGGGACCTCAATTTCATATAACACTTCACATGCTTTTTTCAAGTGAGACCTTCAACTATTGTTCCTTATCACCCTCCTGCAGTTCACCCCAGTGTCCATTAGACACTGTGGGCAGTGTTTTCTCCTCTAACATAGCTGAGCGCCCTGAGTGTATTCGCCTTGCGTGCAGGGAATATTCTGTGTGGGAACGTGGTGGAATCCCATGCTTGTGGCTGTCAGAAGTGAGGTGTGCCCGCTGCAAGCTTTGTTTTGCCTGCACTTCCATCTGTTAGGTGTCTGACACAGACTACCTAGCCTTAGTTTCTGGAGGGATTGGCATATACTTTCCATTTGTAAAGCCGAGTTTTCTCAGGACCAGGGACTGGATGCTAGTGATGTGGTTCCACTGGCTGCAGTGGAGTTACCCAGGAGGAGCTCCAGTGTGGCCTGTGTGAAAGGCCTTACAGCAAAGCCTTTCAAGGCTTCAGTGCATGGGATGGAATGACATGTGTCGTGAATTACTAGACTGAAACAAAATACTGAAAAAGATGCTCTGCATGTAACATTCCTTTAGAAATTAGGGTTTCTGACTTTCCAGGAGTGAGAAATGGCAGTATCTGGGCTCACAAGAGTCCACAGAACTTGTCAGGGATTTAGTGGCAGGTTGTCTTTGTACTAGCTGCCTTTCTGCCCTTACAGGGGAAAAGAGGAAGCAGCTTACTTGCCAGCTATTATACACAGTGTCTGCTTGGAGCTGCCTTCCAGGGAATGTTAGGTGTTTTTTCTTGCAGCAGGCAATTAGTGGGTATGGTGTGGATACTACAGAGAGAGATCCCTGACCCAGAGCTGTAGGAGGGAAGGAAAGCACAAGTATTGTTGATGAGTTCTGCCATTGTATGTATCCATAGAAGGGAAATGTGAACTTGTCACCTTTGATGCAGGTGAAACTTCACAATGGTAGGTAACAGGTGTTTTCAGATCCTGCAAATAATGTGTGTGGTGTTTAAAGAACAAAATGCACAGTCATTTCTTCCAAAAGGCCGGTCTTGAAGTGACTGGGGGCTTTTTGGTGAATGGGGTCACTGATCCAGGTGCAAGAAGTCTTAGATAAATTAGTCTGGTTGTGCTGGTGGGATGTCTATTCCACAGAAGTATCAGGTCTGAGTTGTTTTACCTGTCAAGGGCTATACATTATTGCCTTAGTAATAACACTGGTCTATGGTGAATGGAGAACAGCCCCATATAAAAGGTTAATGCTTACTCTGTATTATCTGAAGTGCTGTTCTCCTCCTTTATTTCAGTTAAATTACTATTCCTCAGCAGTGGTTCAGTCTGCACTTGATACAGGACTCATTTAGTTATCTCTGCTTCCACTTCCTTACGTGGGAATCTGAGGGTAAAGTTGATTCTTTTTCTGTAATTGCTGCATAGTTTCTTTTAAAATGGTGCTTCTGAAGGAATTCCCTTTTCTCAGTAGCTTAAAAACAATTTTCTCTCTGGGATGAAATCTGTGAGACAGGAAGGTTGAAACTTTTTGTGTACTGCTGGATGGTGAGAAACTAACTAAATAATAGTGAATTCAAATTATCTTCACTACAAAGTGATTTTATTGGGTCATCAGAACTAGGCCATCTACCCAAAACCAAAGTTTTGTCTCTGACTTTTGCTTTTTGTCAGCTGATGCCAGTTGATTCCAGACTTCTGTTTCTCAATTACTATATATTCCTCTACAGTTCCACTATAAAGACTTACTCATTACTGCAGTGATAGTATTACCTAGCTTAGTATTGTTGACTTGAGGAACATTGTAACATTATGGGGAACATTGTAAGATTATAATGAAAAATAATATAATCAAATAATAAATTATATTGATAATAAATGGTACACTCCAAAAAATTCTTCAGGGACTTCACCAAAGATTTGTTTGTCCCATAAAGAGATGAATTTGCACAAGAAGTTCCTGGGATTCAAACTGCACGTGGACTCTAGGCAGTAGTATAAACCCTGCCTTTATATGGTCTGCAAACAGTAGAGAGACAAAGATCAAGTCTGATTCAAAGCAGGTGGTACTTCTCTGTTTTAAATAATATTTTCTCAGCCTGTTTTTAGTTGGATAAAATTATTTTGTGATTAATACAAAATTATTACTGTCTTTGAGTCAGCATTATTCTGTATGTTTCTAAAAAGGTACTTGATACTACTATAGTGTCTAATTTGAAGCCTTCAGATGGATCATTTGTTCTGTTTGTGGAATGGTGTGGGGGAATGTTCTTTTATAAAACTATGGCAGGAGAGCAGATATGATATCCCACAGGATTCATTTTTTTGTGGCATGTTTGTGAGAATTTCCATCCTCATGTATGTTATGAAAATCTAATGTTTGTATGATCAGTTTAAATCATGGCTACAGCCAAAGGCAGTTCCACTTTTCCTTCCCACATCCAGCAGCAAAAAAATGTGGTTAGCTGTACTTTGGATTCTGTGCAAACACAAGGAGAGTGAGGGTGAAAAGGCTCTGAGGATGGAAGGAAGTATACAAGGAAGAGTGGACCTGTCACTTCCAGCAGAAGTGTTGTCTTCTTCCCACTGGAAGAAATGTGGCTTAAATTAGTGCCTTAATACAGCAATGAGAACTCATGTAGATGTGGTGGCTTGCCCTTCTTTGTACCTGAGGAGGGGCGTTAACTTTGCCATACAAGTTGAGGTTGATGAGTCCTTTTGGTTGAATCTATTTTGCCATGTATCATTAGGAAATCAGAGTAGGTGGATACGATTTGAAAAGGTCAAGTGGCATTTTTGTACTGGACACACATTTTGAGTGAGGCTTGTTAAACCTTTCTAGTCAGCTATGCTTCGTTAGGCAGAATGCAAAATAAAAAGAAAATGTTTCAGGTCTCTGAAGGGCAGATATAAACTCCAGGACTCTTTGTCTTCTGGTTCTTTATCTTAATAAAGACACTGGCCTTTTACCCTGATTTAGGCTATACAGGCTATATCTTGTTTATTCATGTTTTGCTGTCTTTGTTCTTAACTGATTTTCATTATGAAGTACGTCTGAAAAAATGTATAACAGTTATTTTCTTTTCTGTCCTAGCATTGATATGTTAATGCCATCTGATAAAGAACAGGACCCAGATGTTATTCCTGAAGACAGCAGTCTGCTAACTCTTCGGTATGTCATTATAGTACCCTGACAGTATCTTTATATGGGGTTGGGTGGAAAACAGGCACAAAAGCATGGCTGGCCACTTGTTCCCGTTACAGGCAATGGTGTACCTTCTGAAACAGTGTCTAGAAATACTCCAAGGGCAGAAACACCAGCTCATGGTAGGGTAATTGGTATGAGCCTTCTGCTTGAATGTTACTTAGGAATTTTTTGTTAAGATATACAGAATATGCCATCTTTCTTATTGGAAGAACTTAGTATTTCTGGACCTAGGTACTTCAGAACCAGCACCTAAATTTGGTGTGTGCAAGGCACTTCTCATAATGCCATGTGGGAGGTTTCTCCACAGCCTTGTGGAATTCATTTCCTACCTCTGGTAATCCAGTCACATTGTAACAGCCAAAGTCTAAGTACTAAAATTGTAGCCAGATACCTCTTTATCTGAATTCTTTATAGTATTCTTTGATACTAGGGGTGCCATTTCAGAGGCTGAGCAATACATATTTAGTTTCTATCAGTTAGTAAACTTTGTACTCATACATGGCCAGTTCAGGCCTTTACGGTACTTGAATTTCAGTTTCCATAGTACTGATGTAAAGAAATCTGTTAAGGTTGTGATCAGCGTTAAGTCTGACTGTTACTGAAAACCTTCAGGAAGGTCTGAAGGGTAAATAGACTTGTTCTGGAAATTAAAAAGGATTTAGTGTTCATGCAGTGGTTAAATAAATATATTTACATGTTCATGCAGTGGTTAAATACATATATTTAAGTAGATATCTATGTATGATACTCTTTCTTCTGGAAATGGTACTGAAGTTTTTTAGAAAAGTATCTATGTCATGCGGTTGAGAATATTTGTGGGGTTTTTCTTTTTCTTTGCTTGAACATAAATTGAATTTCTCTGAAGCAGGAGAGATAGTTGAAAGTGTTCTTTCTAGGAAAGCCTCTTCAGACAACATTTTGTTATTTTTTTATTGGAAGTGTAAAACTAGTCACAAGCAACTAGTAATTTGCACAAAAGGGGAAAGACAAACACCAGCTGAAATCTACAAGCCAGTCTGTGTACTGCCAGGTTTTATGGGAGTCCAGAGACAAGAGTGTTGTAGCTTAGTCTGTTATATTAAGACAACCAGAAATCCTGCTCTTTGAAAGCTGCACTATAGTAGCTTGTGTCATTGAAAAATGCATAGAGATTCTGCATGGAAGTTGTTGAATGAAATTTTGTTCTGTGTCCCTGCCCCTCAGAATTAGAAAGAAGGCATTAGAGAGGAGAGAAGAAACAATTATTGTGGATCGGGCTTGCAGACAAGAAACTCTTGCTTATGAGATGGTAAGTTGCCTGTCATCTTATAAGATCTCAAGACAGTTCAGCACAGCCAAAATCCAACTTGTGGTTGCTTTTTTTCCCCCCTTACTATGAATCTTTGTACACTGTAAATGTTTGCAGATACAAGTTTGCAGGTAATGGTTATGATTGAAGACATTTTATAGAAAGATAGGATAGGAACTCTGCTCTTACAGTTGGTTAGTGCCAAATGTAAAGAGGAACTGCAGCTTATTATCACTGTATGACTGCTTTTGCTGCTGCTAAAAGAGCGAGTAAGGGATCAAGTGTACTGAGCATCATGTGAACCTACCATAGAGTTAGACAAAATGCGTAATGTTTTTGCTCCTGGAGTCCTGTGTTGGAATCTAAGCTTTAATGTGTACACGACTGCCAGTTAGTTTCTGTATGGCTGAAAGAGGAAGACAGTAGGAGCATAGTGGCAGTAAGTTCCTAGTTCTGAGTTTTGTAACCCAAGTTTTTCAGCCATTCTGAGCTGTCAGGAACCAGAAGTGCAGTGATCAGCCCCTCAAAAACCATCTTGGAATTCCTTTAACTGTCCTTAGTACCTCTTTTTTTTTTTTTTAAAAAAAAAAAAAAAGATTTCTTCACAACCATTAAATTCCTAAACAGGAAAACTTAAGTTCTTCAGTTTCGCAGTGCTGGAGTCCCATGGCCTGAACAAGCAAGCCATGAACTACTGTAAAAATTAGAGGTGGAGGTGTAGTGAGGAAGGAGCCTCACTTGTGACTGTTAAACATTTTTTGCCCTTGAGGTTCCCTGGTCTATCATGAGTCACCTTGTTTCAGCTGTCCAGAGGCCCAGGCACATGATGTAAACATTTTGCATCAGCTGATATTCTGGGCTTTTAGGCTAGGGCATATCTGAGAAAACATTTGCGGTAGAAATCTTCATAAAGGGTTTCAATGAGTGATGTCTCGTTTCTGTTTCTGAAGAATGAGCATGTGGTCAGTTCCTTTAGACAGGTTATGGTAACTGTTTTGTGTGTCAGAGCTAGTTATGACCGCGGTGTCCTAGAACAGAATGAGAGCAATAAGAAAGATGAGTTTGGAATGCATTGCAAGAAGAAGATGCAAGAAATAGAGCTCACATATCGCTGAACTGAAGTCTCATAGCAGTACATGCTCCTGTTACTAAAATCTGAAGAACACTTTGTGCTGATGGGGTGTGTTTGTGCAGTCAATATTCTCTCTTAATTTGTTGAAAAATGAGGAAATTGACTGCCACAGAGAAGTACCTTCCCTTATGCTCACTGCTGGGCTATATCTTAAACACAAAGTAGGATGGAAATGCTTTCACTTCTTTTCTAAGACATAGTAGTTATGTTAGGGGCAGTACTGGATTTTGGTTTTGGATTTTGGAGAAATGTGACCTCTGGCTATGTCAAACTTCCCTAACAAGAGGAAGTGTTGCACTAATTTTTATTTTCATATACTTCATGGCTAGTTTCTAGGTCAGTCTTTCTCAAGTTGAGGGTTGAGATCCCCCTTTGCATGTGAAAGCATTCAAAGAGCATTTCAAAGCATTAAATGATGGAAGGTGGTCGAAGCTGGGTTGGGTTCCGTGAGGACGGAGTAGCAGTGGGCTTTAATTCCTTTATGCAGGGCCTTTCAGTAGGCAAGGGGTAGCCAGCTTTGTTTCTGAAAGCTTTCCAGAGCTGAGGAATGAAGGAAAATGCTTGAAATCAGTAATGACAAAATTTTCTCACCTTTCCATCTTGGAAAGTAGGCTGTTATAAATTTAGAAGGCTACACGGTCAAAACCAAGTTACAGTTAGAACAGCATTGCTCAGACTTTTATCCAGGGGTTATGATATATAAGTGGTTGCCAGTACTTTAAAAATATATATATATCTGTATGTATATATATAGATATTTTTTTTTTCCAGGAGTCACATGCAATTGGAAAGAGACCAGCCAATCCAACAGATCTAGTTGAGGAGGGAGAGCTACTTTTAACTCTGAACATCTTCTATCCTGTCATATTTCAGAAGGTTGGTACTAAATTCTCTAGGTTGTATTCTGATGGGCACTAAGTTCTCTGGGTTGTATTCTGATGTCTCTTCCCTACTCAAGTAATACCTTGCTTTCCCAAGCAGTTAAAATCAGTGAGTCCACTGAGGGAGCATGGTTAACCCTTCAGCTGCGGTAACTTCTTCAGGATTTTTCAGAATCTGGCTCTCATTCTGTTAGTGGTTTACAGAAGGATTTTTTTATACTAACTCCTCAGCAGCTAATTGATTTCACAGAAAGCTCAAAATCTGAAACTAAATAAATGAAAAGTGAAGTACTCTTTCTGGATTAGGGATAAGTGTGCTCAAACTTTGTATCTTTCCTGCACTTTTTGGTGGGGAATGACTTTTGAGTTTCTGAATAAAAATAATAATGTCAGCCTGAGGAGAGTCTGAGGCAAGATACTGTTTAAAATCTTGTACAGAGAGGTAATGTGCTCTATACTGCCATTAACATCCTCATGCTGTCAATGAAAGAGCAGGACTGATGCTGACAAGTGATTTTTGTTGAAGCTTGTATGTATGGTGTTTTCTTTGTAGCATAAAGATCACAAACCCTATCAGACAGTCCTTGTACTGGGCAGCCAGAAGCTCACTGAGCTGAGAGACTGTATTTCCTGTGTCAGTGACCTCCAGATAGGTGGTGAGTTCAGCAGTCAGCCAGATCAAGCACCAGAGCACATCAGCAAGGTAAAGTCTTCTATGTGGAACCCTCTACATGTGTAGGAGCTTTGAAAACATACAGAAGAGTGGGAGGCAGAGTTTTGTTTCCTTGTTTTTAATTCAGTACCAAATGCAGCTGCATTGGTTCTGCCTGTGGGTTGCACTGCAAGAAAATACTTCCTGGTGGTGTTACCAAGTTGACCTGTTTTGTGCAATGTTAAGGAAAACATCATTAATGCTACCACTGGGATGTAGTAACACTAGAAGTGAGTTCTTGCATAGATGTGTCCCTGACTGACTTCCAGCTCTATTCTAGAACACTGGAGGTAACAGAAAGCTAAATGTAGACCACCCCACTCTGGGCTTACATGCTTTGGTGTTTGCAGCTGGGTGCTGATCAGTAGGAATGCAGATTATTCCTCTCTCCCACAATTGCCAGATGTTCTCTGAGGATGTGCAAAATGGGTCAATAAAGAAAAAGTATTCTAATTGAAAAGGTTGAAATTGTATCATTTTCATAATATATCACATATAATACGTATCACAGAACGGCTGAGGTTGGAAGAGACCTCTGGAGGTTGTCTGGTCCAACCCCCCCTGCTCAGGCAAGGCCAGTTGTCCAGGCCCATGTCCAAATGACTTTTAGATATCTCCAAGGATGGAGATTCCACAACCTCCCTGGGCAGTGGAAGTGCTTGGTCACCCTTCCAACAAAAAGTGTTTCCTGATGCTCAGAGGAAATGTCCTGTGTTTCAGTTGGTGCTCGTTGCCTTTTGTCCTGTCACTGGGAACCACTGAAAAGAGCCTGGCACGGTCCTCTTTGCACCCCCCGTAGAGGTATTTGTATATGTTAATAAGATCCCCTCCTGAACTTTTTCTTCTCCAGGCTGAACAGTTCCAGCTCTCTCAGCCTTTCCTCATAGGAGAGATGCTCCAGTCCCTTTATCTTCATGGGCCCTCTCTTGTACAGAGGAGCTCAGAACTGGACACAAGACTCCAGGTGCAGTCTCACTAGTGCTGAGTAGAGGGGAAAGGATCAACTCCCTCAGCCTGCTGGCAATGCTTTGTCTAATGCAGCACAGGATCTCATTTGCTTTCTTTGTTGCAAGGGCACATTGCTGGCTTATGGTCAACTTGGTGTCCACCAGGACCCCCCAGGTCCTTTTCTGCCAAGTTACTTTCCAACTCAGGGGCTCCCATCATATACTGGTGCATGGGGTTGTTCCTTCCCAGGTGCAGGACCTCGCACTTCTCCTTGTTGAACTTCATAAGGTTCCTGTCAGCCTGTTTCTCCAGCCTGTCAAGGTTCCTCTGGAGGGCAGCTCGATCAGCTGGTATATCGGCTGCTCCTCCCAGTTTCGTGTCATCTGCAAACTTGCTGAGGGGACACTCTGCTCCATCATCCAGATCACTAATGAAGATAATGAACAGGGCCCGACCCTGTACTGACCCCTGGGGCATTCTGCTAGTTACTGGCCTCCAACTAGAGTTTACACAGATTATCACCCTTGGGGCCCAGCTGTTCTGCCAATTAATAATATAGTCTAGTATCAATATAATATAAATCAAATAAAACATAATATACAATCTGAGAGAAACCAGAGGATGTTATATATTTGTATACATAATAGGGAAAAGATGGCACATTCTTGTTTAAGTAGACTGAAAGACATCCCAGACACTATTCTTTTAATTTATGTAAAGTAAATGGAAGAGTCTTTCTACCACTATTGAGGGAAGCACCAGCTGATTAGTTCTGAGACTCTGCTCCTGGGCATGCAGAGGAACCATGGGTGGCTGCTGGGCCTTAGCAGGGTTGAGCTTAGACTTCCTCACATCGATAATTTCCCCAAAGTAAGTGTATGCCACCATGCCTAGCCTCTCACCAGGACTGTTTTCCTCAAGCAGGATTGTGAATTTACAACTTACATTGAGATATAGGCTCAGTGTGTGGTAAGTCTTCACAATAAAATTTGCATGTTGCTTCAGCAGACAGTTAATCAGCCATCTGTGGGGTAGAATTTTCTTCCTTTCAGTCTAGCACGGAAGTAGCACCATGACGTGCCAGAACTATGTTAGCTTTTCCAAATGGAGAAAATAACTTCTGACTAATTTAAGCATCTTAGAGTCTGATTTAAATCAGAATGGTGCTGAGACAGAGCTGCGTAAGTTAGCTGTTGATGCTAGCTTTCGCTTCACTTGGAGTGCAGTTTGAGTGCACAGACTGAGTGAAAGGATCAAGCTGCTGCTCTCATGGGTTAAGTAAACAAGTGTAGCTTGACAGAATGGGTAAGAGAGACTTTTTGTATTTTATTGGTGTGAATAGACCTAAGTTCTCTTTCGTTCCTGCTTTCCTGCTACTTTTGGATTTTGTGATTTTATTCTTTGCTTTTTTCCGTGGCGCAGTGATTAATGGGATAAAGTGTAACGAGTTTAATTGCCAGCTTCTGCACCTGGGACAGAGTAACACCAAGCACAAATATAAACTGGGGGAGGCGTGGCTGGAGAGCAGCCCTGTAGAAAGGGATCTGGGGTTGTTGGCTGACATTGAGCTCAATGTGAGCCAGCAGTGTGCCCTGGCAGCCCAGAGTGCAGCCTGCATCCTGGGGTGCAGCAAACACAGCATAACCAGCTGGCCAAAAGAGGTGATTATCCTACTGTATTTAGTGTTGGTGTGGCCTCACTTCGAGTACTGTGTGCTGTTCTGAGCCCCACAATTGAAGAAGGATGTGAAGGTCCTCAAATGCATCCAGAGAAGAGCAACAAAGCTTATGACAGGGCTGGAAGGAAGGACTTGTGAGGAGCGCCTGAGGACTCTGGATTTGTCTAGTTTGCAGAAAAAGAGGCTGAGGGGTGACCACGTTGCTCTCTACAGCTTCCTGAGGAGGTCAGGTGGAGAGGGTGGTGCTGATCCCTTCCCCCTGGGATCTGGTGATAGGACATAGGGAATAGTTCAAAGTTGCATCAGGAAAGGTTTAAACTGGACATGATGAAACATTTCTTTACCGAGAGGGAGGTCAAACACAGGAACAGGCTTCCTGGAGAGGCGGTCAGTGCCCCAAACCTGTCGGTGTTTAAGAGGCATTTGGACAGTGCCCTTAATAACACACTTTAACTTTTGGTTTGCCCTGAAGTGGTCAGGCTGTTGGACTAAATGATTGTTGTAGGTCCCCTTCAACTGAGATACTCCGTTCTATTCTATTACGTGCCTTTTTGTGTTTGGTTTTTTATAAACCAAGACTTTAGTCAAATCAGCATCAGGGGAATGTTTAAGAGAACTGGCCAACATCAAGGTATTTTGTTCCACAGATACAGATGCTTTTAATAATGATACTGGATCTTTTATGTAGTTACTACTACTGTTGAGATTCCATGGAGAAACAAAATAGGGCATACCTCCTTGAAAACTGAAGGATAATGCACAGGATGGGAGGAAGGAATGTCCGAGTCATACCTCTGGCCAGCATTAATCAGGAAAGATCTGATTCAAATTCCCAAGAAGTTTAGTGGCTCCCTTAGCCTTCTGTTCACTATGATAAACAGCTGTTTCCTGAAGTCTGGAACAGCTTTAAAGGAGTGGCTAAGTCAGAACTGCTGTGACCCACAAAATTGGTAAGGAGTTGCCAGAGCATAGCAGTACTTACACTTTGTGGTTGGAGAGCCAGGAAGGGTGACAATAACAGAACTGAAACAAATTGCCTGAGTATGAAACACATTCCTACCGCTGTGCCTTCATGCAGGTCATCTCCAGTCACGAGTCTTTCTGGCCCCAGTGTCTGCATTTCCTGTCTGCATAACCTTAGAGTTAATAGTTCCAAGAGACCTTCAAGCACAAATAAACATTCATTCTCTGTTAATAAAGACACGTAAGACTGGCCTGAGGATCAGAGTGCCTAGTTGTCCACAGTTTTTCTGTTTGATCCTAATCTAGTCTGCTTATGCCTCTGTACGCAGCCTGTAAAATAATTAATGTTCACTTCTTGTCTTCCACTCTTTCTCTGCCTTTTCTTTTCCACTGTAAGCTCTTGCAGGTCATAGGCTGCCTCCCAACAGCCATGTAAAAAGTTCTTCGGGATTCCGTGACTTAATGTGCAGTGAGCAACTCCCAAGTTAGAGAATTTGAGTGAGCTGGTCACGATGTTAATCACAGAAAGGAACCAAACTCCTTGAAGTTACATTTCCCAGTCAGGATCTGCCTCACCTGCCTGCACATGCATCTGTTGATAAATAAATATTAACAGATGCCTGCTGAGAGCTGGCACACAGTGTAATCAGAACTTGGGACCATTTCACTCTGATAAAACTATGTGTTGATGCATTTTGGAGAAATGCTTTGTCAAAATGCTCTTAAGGCCTGTGAATGAAGGATTCCTTGCAGTTTTCTGTGTACTTGAAGAAAATTCTGGATTTAAATAGGCTTTGTGCAATACCTGAATGCCAGTGTATAATTGCAGATAGTTTCCTCTGCTGAAAGGTCGTGAAACGCTGCTTGTCTTCAAAGTGCAATTGAAAATATGGAAAAAATTGCTGTAACTTAGAGGTCAGCTGTGTGTGTATACAGTGTATCTTAGCATCCCTTGCATGTGGTGTAGCTGTGCACAGTTGCATATACAGCATATGCAGAATGGCTCCCTGAGCAGCAATCAGTACAGAAGTGTTCCACTCTGAAGTGGTTCTAGAGGGTTTAGTCTATGTCCTTCAGCCTCTCCTCACTTCCACTAATGAATGCTGTGCAAGGTAGCTGACCCATTTTCCCCAGCCTAGGACAGACTTGTGTGTTAGCTGTATTCCTATTGCAACAAAGGTGATGGGTTTGAGGGGTTTTGTGCTCTTATTTTTATTCAGCAAAATGCAATAAAGTACTTGTAAAATATGATTCCCAGCTTGCTGTGGGTTTTTGATCTGAGGCATCTCCTTGCTTCAAGGGCCACTGCAGAAGGCTGTCTTCTGCTCCTTGTAACTATTTCTTAAGCCCTGTACATGTGTTATGATCAGTTTGATAATATACACTCTGCTGTCTGGTCTCAGTCTTTAAGGAGTTGTAGCACAAACAAAATCAACACCCTCGTATATGCCAGAAAGAACTTGGAAGAGCACAATTTAAAGGTAAAGAAATTATATGGATAAAAAAGCACAACCTTTCCTGGTCATCTTCTCTCTGCTCAAGTTACTTGTTTATATAAAGGCTGTTTTGACAGCAACAACAGAAGATGGAATTAAGGGAAGCAGATGTATGATTACTCCTTTCTTAGATGTTAAATGACATTTTTATCTAACTAAAAAAAAAAACTTAGTATGTTTTTTCCCCTCTTAATTTTGGCTGTATATATGTATTGTGTAAATTTATTCCATTTCTTTCTCCTATTTTATGGCTAATTTTAAGTTGCAAAACCACACGCAGTATTTCCTGTAGAATCACAGAGTATCTTGTGTTGGAAGGGACTCATAAGGATCATCAGGTCCTACTCCCTGCTCCTTACAGGACTACCTGAAACTAAACCATGTGACTAAGAGCATTGCCCAGATACTCCTTGATCTCTGTCAGGCTTGGTGCTGTGACCACTTCCCTGGGAAGCCTGTTCTTGTGACCGACCACCCTCTCAGTAAAGAACCTTTTCCTAATGTCCAATCTGAACTTCCCCTGACGCAGCTTCATTCCATCTCCTTGTGTCGTATCACTGGCCACCAGAAAGAAGAAATCAGCAGCTCCGCTGTCCTCTGTGAGGAAGCTGGAAACTGTGAAAAGGTCATCCCTCAGCCTTCTCTTCTCCAAGCTGAACAGACCAAGTGACCTCAGCCACTCCTCCTATGTCTTGCCCTCAAGGCCTTTCAGCATCTTGGTCTTCCTCCTCTGGACACACTTTGATAGTTTTATGTCCTTCTTATACTGAGGTGCCCAGACTGCACACAGTGCTGGAGGTGGGGGCCCACCGGTGCGGGGTAGAGTGGGACAGTCTCCCCCCCGTGACTGGCCACTGATGCTGTGCTTGATGCACCCCAGGACATGGTTGGCCCTTTTGGCTGCCAGGGCACACTGTTGACTCATATTCAACTTGCCATCAACTCAGACCCCCAGATCTCTTTCTGTGGGGCTGCTCCCCGGCCTCTCATCCCCCAGTTTGTAAAAATACAATATGTCTTGAAGATAAACAGAGTGATACTTGATTGTGCAATTTCAACAGAATGTTTCCCTGTTCTTATTTATTTTCTTACTTCTCAAGGAGATTCTTGCAGCTGGAGTCTGTTTTTTTAATGG